CAAAGGACCTACTCATTTGGCAGATGAGGACAGTTCAGTGTTGGTTTAGAAGGGGCTCCTGACCGCAGAGGCATGGCCTTAGGATGACAGGAGGGAGACTTTGTGCTGGACAAGGACCCAGACAGCAGCGGATGAGGAAGGACAGTCAGGTCAGCCAGAGGCCTGCTTATCTGTCCATTACTTTTATAATTTTCAGAGCCTTTAGGCCCTCTCACCATAACCACCCTCCTCAAACACAAAAATAAATCACCACCAAGGGAGGAAAAAAGATGAACTGTTTTGGACAGGATAAAGTGCTATGGGGTCTGCATCTAGTCAAGCAGCCGGGGTGTGGGGGTGCCTGGCAGGACCTGCACTCCATGATTCCACATGGAGATCTGCATAGGGCAGATTAATTCCTCAAACTGCCATCTCATTGGAATGTGTCAGAGATTAAATGATGATAACGTTGAAACTTCTGTTTCAATCATCAGGAGCAGAGAATGGCCATTTGCTCACACTGCCCCTGAGCACCCCCGATTTCTGTCAGTCATTCTGCTTCTTGTTACCAGACAATGTGTAGGGAACGGCACTTAATTTGGCCTGGGAGCATCTAAACCTCATAAAACACTGGCAAGATGCAATGGCACGTGCTTTTGAATTTATGATGCTATCGCATGTCTCTCTGATCCACGATCTTTAGTAGTTCTATTTGGATATGATATTTAGAAATCTACTTTTTTTTTCATAGTCAAAGGGGTTATCTGCACGAGTTGTTCATGCCGAGAGCTGTTGCTGAAGCCAAAATGGAAGAACTAGCCAGCTCTGCTGTTTTGATGGAGCGCTGTTCCCCGAGAATCCTATTATATTGTGAAAAATGACACAGTAATTCCTAGAGTCAGGTTTGTGTCATGAATAGCAGTCTCGTGCTGCTGAAGACAGAAGCGGAGTGACTGGTCTGTACTAATTAAAGCAACAAGAATATAACTCCCCCCCACAAAGAACATCTAGAATCAGCATTTATAAATACATACTAATAAAATCGTTTGCCACTAGCAGGCACTTCACAGCATCCAGCACTAGAGATGGGACACAGGCAGGAGTAGGGTTGGAATGGGACTGGCCTCAAAGAGGGTTCCTAAACCTCTTTTCTCAACTTCCGTTATATATTTAAACATTTTCACAAGGCAAACTCTGAAAAAGAATTATTTTTTAAACAAATGGTCCTTTGGAATAAAAATACTTTTCATTTATCGTAAAAGTATATTTATACACTACTCTGACTTCCATACTCAAAATATGCTTGTTAGGGATGTTTACCTAGTCAAAAAAATGGCTGAAGTGAACAGTAGTTTCTGTTTGGCTCCAGCAGTTCTGGGTAACGCGCCACAGAGTTAGATCCATCAAATAGATGTAAATGTCAAAATGCTCTTTTCTGAAGGTAAATTTTACATCAAACAACTGCTTAATAATCACCTAAAGAAATAGTTTACATTATAGTTTTTTGATGACATCACTTTAAAATACCAATTTATCACATAAGCTAAGGTTAGTATCAGAGAGTAATGAAACCAAACACACCACTCAGACTTTTTCTCAGTTCAGCCTGGCTCTCTGCCATTTTCTTCTCCACGTTTCCAAGGTGTACTGCATTTTTGTCAATCCCGCATCATCCTGATCTTTTCCAGCCAGTTGAGACAGCACTCACGTTATTCTGAGTCATTCAGAATAAACAACCTGACGCCAGGGGCCGGTCAGGGTAACGGCGCACCCTGGTGGTCAGAACAGGCCAGTGACTCTCACAGTCACCGTTATAATCAGATCTCATGACACAACCATGTCAGTCTTATGACATCAGATGAAAATTTTTGTGAATCTCTGTATTTAGGTCTTTAGACCTAGAAAGGCACAGACAACTAAGCAGTTAGTAAATTTTAATTTTAAGGGCCAAGAGGCTGGTTACTGAGTTCAGAATTGCCTACACACCAACAATCTATAAAGAACATACTTGGCGTCCAAACTCTGTGATTCTTACTTGTTGAATTTCAGTGAGAAATATTAATTTTTAAAGCCCTTTACCTCCATCTCTTTTCCCTCTGCAACCTGAGGCAGCCTCACATAGGCAGCTGAGAGCCTCCAGGGACAGAATTACTGTGTCCAAGGGATGTTCTCTCTCATGAGCACAGTAACTTGGAGCAAGTTCATTAATATCTTTGTGCTTCAGTTTTCCCATCTGTAAAATGGGGATGTGAGTAGAAAATACTGACAGATCTTGGGAGGAGTAAACAGGCTATTCAGACCACACCCGGCACACAGAGACACCATAGCTCCGGCTGCCTGCAGCATCCTTCACCGACTGCAGTCACATCCATCCACACAATCTTATGTTTCTGTATATGTGTCCCTGACTCCTAGAAGTTGAGTGCTTTGTATGCCTCAAAATGCATATTCAGTAATCAGATTGTTTGGAGGGTGGCTGTGGAGCAGAAATGCACACAGAAGGACCTCGCTTCGGATCCCCAACTCACTGTGCATTAAAGGATGGTGTATTTTAACTGGGAACACCAACAGCAGGAAATTAATGGGAAGTTTAATCCCCCTAAGATCACTGTTTCAAAGAGTCAAGGGGAAAATTTTGACCCCTACTGCAAAATTTGCAGAAAGTTTTCCCCCATTAAAATTGTACAAAAAATGAACTGTAATCAATTTAGGTGTCCAGAGGATAAATCAGCCATACACCGGGTTATCTGGTAAGGAAGTTATTTCAAGAAAAAAGAAAAATGTCTTTAAATGTAAAGAGGATTAAGTACAAGATTTAGAACTTTAAAGGAAAGAAGTACCAAGTCTGGAGTAAATCATGAATTGTAGTCATTCAGTTCATTCAGAAGAAAATGGGTCACCGGCCTCGGGATTGAACCTGTAAGCCTCAGGAACCACACCAGCAGCTCTGTGTTTGGCACCAGCACTGCCTATTTTTCTTTCCATATCTTATCTTTAACCACTTTTACATTCTGAAAGAATGGCCTGTACTATCCCAGGAGAACAGGCCGTGCAAATTTGCCAACTTCTTCCCTTCAGGACGGACCATAAAGTACTACCAGCTGCGCATTTGGAACTCCCCCAATCTAGTGTGTGGGGATGACCTGGCCCATAGTGTGAAGTTTTCTGTTATTTTTGCTACTGTACCAGTGGCCAAAGTTGCCAATCATAAAGTCATAAGTATCTCAATCCAATCTTTCAAGTTAAAAAGTATTTTGTAAAAGCCCACAATAAGAAAACAGATGTCTTATAATTTTGGACTTAAATGAACAATATTCTACTGGAGATTTTGATACGTGTTCCCAAATATTAGTTTATGCCTCCATGGGGAAATACACTTAGCAAACAGGCACACCATGCCTGGCAGCCTCACTATAATTCTCAGTATCCTCTGAGCTGTACACTTAGTGGTTTCCCAATGACAAGGTCTGTCTAGAAATTCATTACCTTCATTTCCTTGAAAAGATTCTAGAAGAGTTCACCCAATTCCAATCTATAGTAAAATGAGGTTCATGAGGTTTTAATAAACTTTAAGTTGAAAAAGCAAATATTAATCTGTTCATTTAATGATTTTATCTTATCCATTTTGTTTCTTAGAATGAAACACAGATTACCAAATTACAAACATTCTGCTATTTACAAGTACGATTTCATTTATTAATGGCCTACAATTAAGAAGAAATTGTTAGCTAAGCAAACAATTAGCTTGTTTGTCTGAAAAATAAATAGGGAGTAGGTTATTCACGCATTTGCTAAGACTTATTTCTCTTTTCTTCAAATTGCTTTCTAGATTTTCTAGTTTTTTATACCTAAAATAAGTGTTCTAGTCAAATAATGGAAGCTCATGTTTATATATTTTCTGATGGAGAAAAAGCAGGTTAACACATAACGTTAGGACGCCTGAGGTCAGAGTCTTATTTCTAATCCCACCACTTGACCCAAAGGGAGCTGTTCAACCTCTGCACTTGGAAGTTTCCTGTCTACACAGTAAGGATGTTAATAGTTGGGCAGCCCACCTTGGTGGGAAGTAGGAGATCTCACCAAGCTGTGGCAGAAGGGACTGCTTATAACTTTCCTTAACAAGAAGATGGTTTACATTAATGTACTTCTTCACCCAAATACAGACCCTTGGGAAAATATTTTGGTTTTGTGTAAGAGCCTTAACTTGGGGGGGGGGGGATGACTACATTTTGTGATTATAAAGAAAATCTGTGCAAAAGCAGAGTATTCAGCACAAAGGTGACCTTTCTGGATAAGGGATAAAGAGGTCCATTGCTACCTTATTACGAGAGATTAGCAAAAATTTCTTAATGAGGATTCCTTTCTTTCTTTCCTTTTTGTTTTTTTGCTAGCTATATTCTGCTTTGACAAGAAGACAAAATAAATACTCTTTCAAGTGGGCCACATCCTGAGTCTAGAAGAAACGGCCTAGTACTGAGCTCCCTCACAGGCTAGGTCACTCGAGAAAACTCAGATGTGACAGATAGAAACGGCACCGCGTTACAAGCTCCTTTAATTCTTTCTCAGCCGTGCAAAGGCCAGTGGTAGCAAGTGTACCGCGGTAACTGAGGAGGCAGGCTGTTAGAGGGGAGCTTTGAATCAAATGGAAATCAGCAACATAATGTCACGAAAGCACCATTTTCAAGTTATCAGAACTATTACCAGGAAAAATAAACCAGTAGCTAAAATTCACCTTGTTATGTAAAATATTCATCAAGTTATGCCGTATTAAATCTAATTTTAATGCTATACATTTCTATACCATGAACCTTTAATGTCTTTTTCTACAAAAAGAAAATATTAATTCCTACCTACTTGGCCACATTGGTCATGTAAGATTTTTTAAAGTTGCTCTCTGCTCTGAATGATCACTGCAATCACCTCGAACTTTTAAAATATTACACACATGAACGCGAGAGCACACGATCGGCCCTGCGTGCGCGCGTACTCGGGAAAGGGAGATGCCCTTCCGTCCCGCTTACCTTCGGCTTCCCTGATTTTCCTTCCCGCGGCAGACTTCCGAAGCACGCTCCTCCCAGAGTTAAAGAGGCTGGTTAGCTCGTCCAGGGGGCTGTTGAGAGGCCTGGAGCTCGGGGGGCTGTAGGGCACTGGGGAGCCGGCCGGGGTGCTCGCCTTCCTGGGCTCGGCCCTGGCGGCTTTCCCCGGGGAATGTGGGATCTTGGAGAAGGTGCTGCATGGACCACCCACCGGGGCAGAGTTCGGCTTTTGATGGGTTTTGGCCAGATCTGAGTTTGCCATCGCCTTTCCGGTGTGAACCACAACCATCTCTGGCGGGAAGGAGAAATTCGAGGAGGGCAGGTGCGAGGTGGGGGGCGGCCCGGGAGGCGGTGGCGGGAGAGGAGGGGGCGTAGGCGGTGGGGAGACTCTGCTGGGCCCGTTAAGCGTCGCGGAGCCCGGGGACGCGGGCCTGCCACCATCCCCTTTCGGGTTTTTGGGATACTGTGGAGACAAGGGGCTGGAACCCTCGGGCTGGACAGGGTATTTGAGGTTGGTTTCCAGGACCGGCAGCTTTTTCACCTCCAGGGGCGTCAGAGGAGACTCGTCTGAGGCCGGGGAGCAGGTGGCGGGCGTCGGGGGGAACACCAGCAGTGGGGGCCGATGCGGCAGCAGGTTGGGGAAGGGCGCCGGGATGTCCCACGCGTCCCCGGAGGACCCTGCGGTCAGGCCACCGGGCGCCCAGTCCTCCAGGGGCGTGGGTCTCCTCCTCTCGGGCCACAAGGGAGGCGATGCGGACGCGCGGCAGACGGTGCCCAGGCCGGCGTCCTCGGCCGGGAGGAAGGTCATCTCCTCATACACCGCCTCGCCCTGGTCAGGGCTGTCGGGCTCGGGGCCGCCGGGCCGCCCCGCATGGCCCAGCATCTCGATGTACACGGGCTCAGCCTCATCCTCGGTGGCCTGCAGCGTGGCGGGGCCTGGGGCACGCCGGGGAGGCCCCGGGATCTCCTCGTAGGAGCCGCTCAGCTTGGTGTCAGGGCTGCGCTTGGGCTTTCGGGGAGGGATCTTCTTCACTGCACTGTAGTCATCGCTGTGCGGCCTGGGCCGGGTCAGAGCTGTGGGCAGAGGAGCGGGCGTGAGGGGGACCCTGGACTACAGCGGGACCTCTCCCAACTTGACCGGAGAGACCACCCAGGACAGGGGTGGCATCTCACCCTGCAGCCGAGAGTGACCCCCCCAACACACCCCCAGAGGAAGATGTCAAGTGTGAGGTCCACCACCAGCCTGCTTGGTGGGGGTAGGGTGGGGGGTGCAGAGACCAGGCGGTGGACGGACCAGCACAGGGATCCACAGCACCTGATGACCATGTCAGGTGAAGGACTGGCAGACTGGCCCTAAGGATTTTAGAGGGAGAAGACAGAAACCCCAGAGAGCAAGCAGCTCACAGCTAACTTCTGGCATGCAGAAATGTTCTGTAGGAAATGTGTGAGTTGGATTATTTAAATGACATCAAGTGGGCACCTTGAGATACCACCTAACCCCAGTGAGAATGGACCACATCACAAAGTCTCAAAGCGGCAGATGGTGGCGTGGGTTTGGAGAGAGGGGACCTCTTTTACACGGCTGGTGAGACTGCAAATTAATACGGCTTCTTTGTAAAGAAATATGGAGACTCCTCAAAGAACTCAAATATTTGATCCTGCAGTCCCATCACTAGACATCCACCCAGAAGAAAAAAAGTCATTTTATCATAAGAACGTTTGCTCTAGATTGCTTATTACAGCTCAACTTATAATCATCAAGATGTGGAAACAACCTAAATGCCCACCCACCCAGTAGTGGATTAATAGACTGTACTTTATATATATCATGGAATACTATTCAACCATTAAGAAAGATGGAGACATTACATCTTTTGTGTTAACCTGGGTGGAGCAGAAACACATACTTCTTAGTAAAGTGTCCTAAGAATGGAAAAGCATGTGTCTGACGCACTCAACACTAACATGAAGCCAGTAGACCATCTAATACACGCCCACACAGGAGAAAACTCAATTCATTTCCAGTTGGGCGGAGGGAGAAGAGGAGGAGGGGAGGAGGGGAGGAGGGAAGAGCTTGGCTGCTCCCTCCTGATGGGCACAATGTAAGGGCATATGGGATACCCCTGGGAACAGGACAGCTACAACAAGGACTATGCCTAACAAATGCAAATAGTGTCCCCCAAGTTCTTGGACCTTCAAATTAACCTGAAATAAAAAAAAGTAAAATAAGCCTTTATGTCCCACCCCCCAAAAATAAAGTGGACAAAACAAAAACCAACAGGCACTTACATGGATGGAGGATTTAAAAAATGAAGAACTTTGTTAAAATGTTGCCAAGGATAGGTTTTACAATCAGTAGGTATATCTGAAGCCTTAACAGAGACACATATTTAACAGGGAAATCAAGGGTATAAAACTTCCCTACAGACTTCTTAAGTGGAAACTTCTGAGGTTGAAAAATGAGTCAGTATTCAGAAAAATGAATAAACTTAATATTATCAGAAGAGCAAATTTTGAAAGAGGTGGAACAAAGCTACTTAAATGAGTCCAAAACATTTATTAGGTGTTAAGTAAAAAGAAAGGAATTCTACAAGACTCCCTTTTTTCCTACTGTATTTTTACTATACATTATAATCATGTTTCAAAGACATAGATTTCTCTACCAGGGATGTCGATTTTAGAAAGCATATCTAAAGTTTCACTGAAATATCAAAACAAAAATCTTAAATTATTTTACCACTTTGTAAGAATTCTTGATCATCAGCACATCTAACCTGTTGGATTTCTGAGTTGTTTAAGGCAGCTAGCTACATTTCTCTCTCACCGTGACTTCACGCTATACCAACAGTCTGTTTACCCAGTTTGGGGAGACAGTGAAGTAGAACCAGTAAAATTAGAGACTGTGTGATCAGATAAACCTAGGTTCAAATCTCAGCATGACCTTTTATTCAGCCAATCATTCGATCATATGCATTAAACACAGTATTTATGCAGATAAATACTAAGGAGAAGGCTCTGCCCCCCCATCCTAGAGCAAGCTGTCTGACAGCAGGAAGAGGAAGCACAGTGAATGAGGAGTTCCCCAATGGCTGAGAGTGATACGGACCCTGAAGAGGAGAAACAGACCAGCGTAGGGGCCCGGAATTGTGGGTGTCATGTTGGGGGTGGTAGTGATGCGGAATTGTCACTTTAAAAATGGTCTTGGGTCAACCTCTCCAAGCCTCAGTGTCACTGTAATTATCTCACAGGAATAAAGTAGATATTGCATGGAGAGTGCTTAGCTCAGTTCTTGGCACAGTGTTACTAAGAAACTATGGGAATTGTCCACATGTAAGTGGGAAAGAACAAGGTTACCTTTCTAACTCAGTGGACACCTTTGTAAGCTGGTATTATACAGGGCTTCCAAACCAGAAATACTACAAAGGTGCGAGTCTCCTTTTCCAAAGACTTTCAATGCGTTAAAACGGAGCAGCTCCTAATATCTCCCAGAAAGTGAAGAATCCCATTTTTAATATTAATATTATAGAGTTGCTCTGGAGATATGAATAATTTAAAGGACTTGTGACTGAATCTGTTTTCCAAAGCTGTCTTTAGTAATATTTTCAGTTCCAAATATTGGTCCAGAACCATGAACCTGGGAGGGTCTCTGTGGCTGCCCCAATGAGTAAAATGATCACAAGAGGATGGATGCCACGGCCGCCTGCCTTCTGAGGCCGGGCATCGGCCATACAGCCTCTGTCTGCCTCCCTGTCTCAGGGACCCATCCTGACAGCCTTGACTGGGGGTCAGAAGTCTGCACGCCTGAAGCACCGTGCTGTGGGGAACGTGTGGAGGAGCCGCACGGAGGAGAGAGAGGGAGGTGCCAGAGGAGCCCATCTGCTCTGGCCCCAGCTGTCCCAGTTTCCCACTCCAGACACCAGAAATGTAATTAACTGTGTCTTCCTCTGCTCCCAGTCAGCCCCGCCTGACCACAGCTGGAAGAGCGCTATGTGAGAGCAGCCTGGCTGAGGCTGCCTACTGCCAGAACCAGGGGAGGTAACAGCACAGTTTCCCCTGGTGTCTTTAGCTGCTGAATTGTGGATATGTTTTTTATAAAACAATAGACGACAGGTCTTGGTGCCTGAAATGGACCATTGCTATAAAAGAAAAAACCAACCAACAAACAGTAAAAACATGGAAGTCCCTTTGGAAAGTTGAAGGAGTCTTGAAATTAGCAGAAGCTGAGAGGCCCTGAAGGTGCCTGGTGAGGTGTAAAGGAAATGAGGAAGATGCTGGAAGCTGGAGGAAGCACAGTACTTTCTGCCCACAGTGGAAAGTTGGCGACACTGTCTAACCTGCGGGGATGTGGGACACAGACAGCGGAAAGTGAGCTGGGGACCTGGCCAAGGAGATTTTCAGGCATGTGAAAGTTGCTGCCTGGCTTCTTCTAGCTGTCCAGCCTAAAGCAAGAGAATAAAGAGACAATGTAAAGAAAGGTCTATTAACTATAAAGGGGCTGTGACTTCCTGGGCTTGAAAATAAAATGGTTCTCATTGCCAGGCTTTTCGGATGGGGAAGCATTGTGACATTAGAATGACTTCCAAGCAGAGATAAAATCCAAGGCACTGTCAGGAAGGCCTGATCTAAAGCTGAAGCCAAGTAAATGCCTCTGAGACCCTCTAGTAAGACCTCAGAAAGATTCCAGGAGGTGCTTCAAAGAGCGTTCAAAAGATGCAAAACCACAAGTCTTCTAAGCATAGCGAGGGGATTCCCCATGGGAATATAGCAAAGCACCCCAAAATAGAGATTTGTGGCTTTTGACTGACAGAGTAGATTATAAATTGATCCACAAGAAACTCAAGGAATTGTGTCAGTTTACACTGAACGGAGCAAAGTCCCTACAAAATAAAGAGATTTTAGTCTCTCAAAATTTTGGCTGTGCATAATGTGGCACCTGCCTGTAGTTCCAGCTCCCAGCTGAGCAGGAGGATCACTGGCGGCTGGGAGTTCAAAGCTGCACTGAGCTTTGAGTTACGATCGCGCCTATGACTAGGGACTGTACTGTACCCCAAACAAAAGAGTGAGTCCTCATTTTTAGGAAACACACACAGGAAGCAGGCTGAGGAAACTGTCATCGGCAAACACGAGTCCCCACTTACGGATTAAGAATTGTTATTCAAAGGATGACACTGAGACCCCAGAGCCTAGACCTAACAGCCTTGGAAATTACATGCAGGAAATAGAAGTAGCAACTCACCCAGGCACTGGCACTTGTGTCCAGCTGTTGCTGAGAATGGCTACTCACCAGTGGCCATTGTTTGCCACCTGACTTCCTTTATCTGAGCAGAACTGTGTAAGACCATCACCCTTCTTCACCTGTCCCCCCCCCAGGGATGAGCTCATTGTGGGGGTGGGCAGGAAATTTGTCTTTTTAGAGGCAAGTCTTCCAACGGAAGAGAATGCACTTGAGGAGATGTCCCTCCCAGGAACCTTGCCTGGGAAGCCTGCAGATCTCACCCTGAGCTCTGGCCCCTGAACTTGAGCATGATGTGATGAGGGGAGGAGACTGGGGGGAGGTTGGGGAGAGGTGAATGCACTTTTTACATGGGAGGGATGGGACTAGGATAGTTTAGAGGGTGGACGGAGGTACATGGTATTTTCCAAAAAAGTGCCCAAACAGTATTTCCTGTCCTATCATGAGGTAGACTCTATTTCTCCTTCCCTAAATTGAGGAAGTGTGCAAAAGTGAGGCAGCACAGCCTCCAAGGCTGGATGCTGCAAGGTGAGGCCGTGTCTACCTTGTTCCTCTCCCCCCAAACACAAGATCATTGATTCTCCACCTAAGAAGTCTAATGCCCTGAAACTGCCATGCTGCCCAGCAATGCACTGGCCACAGACAGGAAGGGGCCCGAGGAATCGGTCTCAGACAGCAAGGCAGCAGACATCCCTGGGCCCAGCTTGCAGAAGGTGCCAGGCCCCTCACCTCAGGAAGGACCTCAAGGGAGCTAAGCTCAGCTGACACTCTCAGAGCCTTGGCGATACAGTAACACAATCATTGCTTTTTTTAAACCAGTAAGTTTTGGATGGAGTGTTAA